GTAGGGCTCTGCTCCCATATGCCGACTGTGGTGGGTTTGAACCTGGCACTGGCCAAACTGCAACAAAAAGTAGCCGGGTGCTGTGGTGGGTACCTATAGTCCCAGCTACTCGGGAGGCAGAGGCAAGAGAATTGCCTAAGCCCAAGAGCTGGAGGTTGCTGTGAGCTGTGAAGCCACAGCACTCTACCAAGGGTGATAAAGTCAGACTCTGTCTCTAAACAAAAAAAATAAACAGAAAAATTAAATAGTGAATTAATAAATCACGTATAGGTAGATAAAAGCCATGATGTGTCATTATGTGTTTCATACACACACACACACACATATATAAATTTCAGTCTGTTGCTGAAATGTCAATAAGCTGACACCAATCTTTACTGGGTTTTGGCACATAGGGACACATTTATTTTCTTCTGGTTTTCTTATGAAAAGGAAGGCTCTAAATCTAAAAGTCCCAAACCACTGGAATGTTACCTCAATTGTGAGAGGGATACAGAGGTACAGCCATGCTTGAGGAATTGGCTGTAATGCAAAATATATTCCCTGTCCACTCATATGTGACCTATGAAAGTGTGATGCCTATCAAAGTGGAGAGCATATATGTTAATGCAGATAAAAGGTTGAAAATCCCTAGTGGTTACTATGTAGAAGTGTCAAGATAATGAATTAGTGTTGAGGAATTAGCAATGTCCAGGGCAGCGCCCAGGACTGGCTCAGTGGGTAGGGCGCCGGCCCCATATATCAAGGGTGGTAGGTTAGAACCTGGACCTGGCCAAACTGCAACAAAAAAATAGCCTGGCATTGTGGTAGGCACCTATAGTCCTAGCTACTCGGGAGGCTGAGGCAAGAGAATTGCCTAAGCCCAGGAGCTGGAGGTTGCTGTGAGCTGTGATGCCACAGCATTCTACGGAGGACAATAAAGCTAGATTCTGTCTCTAAAAAAAGAAAAAAGAAAAGAATTAGCAATGTCTTACAGAGACATATTCTACTTTAGTTTAAAAGATTTAGAGTATTTCTTGACACTAGAAAGTATAATCCTATAGTTACTGTTGTGACCAATAATTATTTAAAGATTAAAAAAACCCTCTCTCAATAAGCACATGTTTAATTTAGACAGAAGTGAGGCATTTAAGCATGTATTTTTGGCTTCCTAAGAAAATAGATTTCTATAATTACTCTGAAAAATATGACATGACACAGTCTATCCAATTAGCAATTTAAAATTTCACAAGAACAATATTAAACAATACCAATATAAGCAATACTGTGCATGTAATGAGACAAAAGTTCAACTGTTTATTGTCCAACTAAAAAATAAATGTTAGGGTATGATATATTTAAAAGTGCATTTAACACTATATTTGATTCATTTGCTGACCCTTGCCCTCCTCTGTAACTTCTGGCATCGGAGTTCAAGTTAATCATACAATGTCCCTGCGATATGGCCGTAGAATTAAACTCTTTTCTACCCATTGCCCTTACAAATCCTCTCACCAGGAACAAACTCCAAATCACCTGCCAGTTCATAACCCTCCACTTTCCATCTCTGCTCTGCTGACAGTAAACCAGCAGCTAATTGAACAGAATGCACCCAGTGCGTCTTCCTAAAGATCCACCACGCTGGACTTTGATGGACAGCAGGAAGTGGCATGATGAAAAAACAAAAGCTTTTTAACTGAGAGCACCGCTTTGTTCTGCTTAGAACTTTAAGGTCACTACAGCTCATTTTGACTGCCGTGAGGATCTTAATTTTTACTCAACCAATTTACTTGCAGCTGTCATTCTTTCCAATATTAAAAGTTCAGCTCTGTAAGTATGGGGAATTGAGGGAGAGAAAAATGCGGAGAGCTTGTTACAAACTAAAAACAGCAAAAACAAGTGAAATCTGGCTTGGCTCTGAAGTACAAAAAGTTATTTTCAAAGCTTATAAATTATGACATAGTGATTAACATGTAATTTAAATATATTTAAACAACAATTATATCACATTTCCAGCCCAGCTAATTGGCCTCACAGATGTTCCCTTGGAGCTGCATTGCCCTTCCAGGGGGAAATGAATGAGGTGCTTTTTATCATGGAAAATAGATAAAAAAGCAAACTGAGAAAATGGAAACAGAAACATAAAAAGCAGCCAGTACCCCTAAAAACAATGAATGCAAAAGGGTTTTTGCTTCACAGTTTTTCCATTTTCATGCTGAAAACAAGGAAGAGCATGAAGACGCTGCTATTACTGTGATGCTGTTTGGCTGGATGTGCAGAGAGAGTTGGCAGGTTGCTGACTGAAAGACTTGACAAAGCAGGGACAGTGGATGCATTCTAATAGGGCATGGCCTGGCTGCACGTCTTGGAACAGACTAACTACAAGTCCAGTTATTTTTAATATAATGCCTTTACAATTAAAGGTATTCTAGTCCAGATAATGAACATGTGTAGCAAACTATTTCCTGATGAAGAATGACTTGTGAATTATTCTTTTGATCGTCTGGCCCTCAAGTTTTAAAAAAAGCAACCAATACTAGCTCCTTAGATGAACATTCTAGTAGAACATGACCCAGTGCAGCTACTCCTACGAGGTAAGGGGTCAAAGGGACACTGGTAATTGTAAATATTTTGGAATAACTTCCCTTATAATATATAATCACTGCATTGAAATAAATTCACTCTAGCCTATTCCACTCTTTCCTTTTCTCCTCATCAACTCACTGACTAATGTTTGATAGTACAGTGTAATTTTGGGGGTTTTTTTGAGATGGAGTCTCACTATGTTGCCCTCAGCAGAGTACTGTGCTGTTACATCTCATACAACCTCCAACTCTTGAGCTCAAGTGATTCTTTTACCTCAGCCTCCTAGGTAGCTGGAACTACAGGCGCCTGCCACATCTCCTGGTTGTATTTTATTGTTGTGGTGGTCGCCATTGTTGTTTGGCAGGCACAGGCCATGTTCAAACCTGCCAGCCCTGGTGTATGTGGCCAAAGCCCTATCTGCAGAGCTACAGGCACTGAGCCAGTACAGTGTAAATTTTAAAAGGCCACTATCCAAGTCTTTCCTAGTGCATTGTGGGTTCTTCACCATCTACCACAATGCCTGTGATTCACTGTAGGGAGTTCCTGATTATTTGTTAAGTAACTTGTTCAAATAATTGGTGTTTAGTGATAAGGCTAAGGCCATTGTAATTTGGCAAAGTTCCACCAGGCAGTTGCCATAGCTTTTGTGCCATCCTTCTGTTTCACAGCTCAATGGACTGTATGAAAAATACTTCCTCAAATTTTATGAGTATTTGATCTCAGCATTTCTAAAAGAGAGCAAAATATGCCTGTGTGTAAGATGATTAAAGAACAGGTAAACATTTAAAAGAGCCTGTTTGATAAGTGGCTTTGGCATCTTGATTGCTTGACTTTACAAATTCAATTTAGTAGATGTGAAATTTACATGTGATAGAGCTTCTACTTTTATATAATAGTGCATAACTTACAAAGTTCAGTAATATTTTATCTTTCTTTATCTTCACTAAGAATAAAGTAGAGAGGCCAAGAATGAAAATAAGTGTTTGTGATGTTTGATGATTGACCAAACTCATACTACTTGTAATTGGAACTGGAGCCCAGGGCTTCTAACAGGTCCCAAAACAATTGCCGTACAACACTCCCTCCTATGCATCGCATATTAAATATGTCTATAAATTTCTATTTTTATTATCTTTGATTTGTTATTAGCTATGTTATTAGAGAAGAAAATAGATCAGTATTTTCTATACCATCATAGTTAAGAAGTTAAGAGGTAAACTCACTCTTTGAACTTGTCCCTTGATTAGTCAAGACTAAGTTAGTTAGGGAAACTACATTATCCAGTTGTAATAGCTTTACATTAAATAGTTCATCTCCATGGGAACATTTTCTTCTTAGATTGCTTTATGAATTTCTAAATTATGTAAACATTCACTTGGAATAATATTTAGCTGTGTTTTATATAAAAATGTAGACATCTTAGAGGTTTATTCCAGTCATCTCTGCTCACTTAATGCTAGAATGTAAAGAATGCAAGCTTCATAGCATCAGCTATTTGGTCTGCATTATTCATTATCCCCAGTGCCTAGAAAAGTGCCTGGCAAATAGTCAGTAGCTTCTCAAGAAATATGTTTAATACATTTTTTATTAAGAAGCAAAGTTGGTATTCACACAACCCTTTCTCTGCACCCTAAGGAATGTTGTCCTTAATATTTTATCATATTTTTATATACATTTTCACTTAGTCGATAGGATGGAGCATTAAGCTATAAAAAATACGAATGTCTTTTTTTATTTGTTTCTTTAACTGAAATCTAATTTTGAGTGATTCTAAATACATACAAGGAACTGAAGGCATGTTTCCAGGAAAGAAAGTGATTTTCCAAATTTTCTCCTGTTTCTTTACTTAAAAAAAAATAAGACTGAAGATAAAATAGCATGTACCTTTTTATAAAGAAAGGCCAAGAAGTTGACCCCTTGCTGAAGTAGTGAAAATAAGTGTAGCTTAATAGAAAAAATTATTCTAGACAAATTGAAATCTACTTCTGTCTCCTGCTAGACACATTTCTTCTTATAAGAAAAAAGGTAATACTATAGTTATGTGGCCATTTCTCTTCTTCAACATGTAAAGAAAGAAACATTTTCATTTTCATTTACAATTAAAGTTCATTATTTACCACTTTTCCTTTCCTTAAGGTTAAACAGAAGAATGGTTATTGTTGACTTAGTTTTTAATCTGTTGAAAAAGTTTACATTTTCTGTATGATTTTTTTTTTCAGGGACTGAATTAAACTATTTAGTGTCCTCAAAACATACAGATAAATTTGCTTGCAGTCAGAATGCTCACAATTTGATCGTCCAGAACACTTCACTGTTGTGCACGTTCTCCCCTGTGGTTCATACAACTTGTGGCTTTTCTTTTCTTTTCTTTTTTAAGTTTTTTCATTCATGTTGCCTCTTATTATATCCATCATTCCATTTTTCTTTCCTATTAGAGTGAAATTGGACACAGCCCTCCTCCTGCCTACACCCCCATGTCGGGAGTAAGTATTTCACAATCAACCTTCATCTTTTAGGCTTTTTGGTCTTGGCTTACCATGTTTCCTCTCTCTTGTCTCTGCATAATTTTTTTCATTTTGCCTTTGCCAACAGTGAGTTTAGAATTTGCTGTAGATTGTGTAGCTGACTTGGTAGATGTGTCTTATCTCAGTTGATAATCAAAAGTGGAGATATCGGGCATCAAAAGTAGCTTGCAATTGTTATCTGAAGGATTTCTGTGGGTTCATAGATTACGTTTCTTGGTGGAGGAAGGTTACCTTTACTGCTGTCATTATAGGTCATGTACTAAAAGTTGGAATCTCAGTGATGATTCTCTATTCAGGTACTTGAGACTTAGACTAATAGTAACCATGGATTCGGAGGCAGTTAGACAGCAGCACCATTCAAAGTGGATCAATGTACTTCTATTCTTAAAGACAACTGTCAACAGTTAGTGACACTGCCATTTATCATAAGAATTCACTGAGAAATTTATATTAAAATGGGCAATTGTGGAAAAATGATATCAACTTTTTTTAAATTAAGTCATGCTTTTGTTGATTAGCAAAATTAAAATATATATTTCTGAAATATTTTCTCATAATTTACCTTTTAAGAAAAATTGAAATTTTTGGTGTTTCTAGTCTGAAACTCAAATTCATTAGCCACTAGAGAAAGAAAAAGTGAATAACTACTATGATTATTCTCTGAACGACTAATTTTGATATGTTTTGGGTTATTACCATTTATCTTTTACAACTACTCATGACGACAGCTTCTCTGCACCTGTGTTTCTTCCGTTAACAGAACCAGTTTGTGTACCGAGATGGGGGTTTTGCTGCAGAACAAGGAGGGACCGTGCCCTACCGAGCCCCGACCAGCACAATCCCAGAAGCTCCAGTTGCTCAGGGGGCTACAGCTGAGATTTTCGATGACACCTGCTGTAACGGCACCCTCCGCAAGCCAGTGGCACCCCGTGTCCCAGAGGACAGTAGCACCCAGAGGTACAGTGCTGACCCTACAGTGTTTGCCCCTGAGCGGAGCCCGCGAGGAGAGCTGGATGAAGAAGGTTACATGACTCCTATGCGAGACAAGCCCAAACAAGGTACACACTGAGTAATACTCACCGTCTGAAGTTCACTTCCATCAGGATAAACAAAGTATAGAATAGCAACTGCTAACCAGCTGGACTGTATTACATTTGTGGTCCAGAAAAAGCCTTAGGCTACTGCTCCTTGCACTATGGTTCCAGAATCAGCAGAATTCACATTAGTGAGGTGCTTTTTAGAAATCACAAACTTAGGCACCACCTGAATAGGATTCCAGATTTTAATGAGATCCCCGGGTGCTCTGTATACACAATCAAGCTTGAAAAGTAGTGATGTGAACACTTCTTTTTTGGAATATTTGAATGAAGTAGCGTATCACAAGACATCAGACCCGTTGTTTATTGGGCTTCATTGTGGAAATCATAAAACCTGATATCATTGGTAAAAGTGTCTGATGCTTTTAATGGCACCCATACAGAATACGGTTGATTCATTAAATAGTGCCACTTTCTAGTTTATTACAGGGAATTATGAAATTTTATATGACATTCTTCAATAATTAAAGTTTGACCCTAAATATACTTAAAAGCATGCCCCCAAGTCTCAAAAATAATAGCTTTTGGTTTCACAAAGCACAAGAATGATTTTGTAAAGAGGAGAAATGTTTAACATCCAAATCAAATAGTATTTTAATTTTGGAAAAAACAATGTTTTTCCTTCTAAGCTGACAGCATCACAAAACAATGAAGATGGATGATTATTATTAAAAAATTCAGATCATACCACTCAGAGTCCTCAGTGTCAGCAGTAAACTGTATTTTAAAATTCTGTATTAGAGCCTATTATCTCCTTTTCTATATAGTTGTTTTCAATCCTATAAAACAATATAGAGATCCCCTAGTACATACTGTAAATAACCTATTAAAATATCATCTTTATACACATACATAAAACTTATAATGGAACAAAGCGAAGGATGTTGATAATAGCTCAGGAGTGACACAAATGTAGGTTCTGTGAAGATCTGGGAGATTCCTCCTAAAGCAGAATCTTCTCTGGAAAGATTGTCACCTCCGCCATAAAATTATTTCTCTTCATACAACTTTATAACTTCACGGGTATACAAGTTTGCATCAGGGTAATAGATAAGTAAATTGAATGGAGAAAAGTTAACAGCAAGTCAATGTATCTAGTTACATTGTAGTATTCTCAGACTTTTATCTCTGAATACTGAGATCTATTTCTATCTCTGGAAAGATATTTCTGGAAGGTTTTTAAAATGAATCCAGTCTTCAGAGAGTATAGAGTTTTGGTAGGGACATTCCCACACTTTCAATTAAGAAGTTTTAGGAATCTACCAAGAAAGATCAAATCAAGTTCTTTCACGTATTTCTCAACTTAAAGCTTGTTACTAGGAGTAAAATTCACCCTACTCCTTTTAGATATAATAATAAAAATAGAGCAGTAGAACAAGAAGATTAATTAGTAGTAGTTAGAAGACCTGAATTCTAGTCAAATCCAAATTGTACTCTGCGTACAACATTTAATATCAATTTTTATGTTTATGAAGATGGAGAAGGAAGCTTGTATTTCCTTTTTCACAGAATGGTAAGGATGAAATGATAATGTCTTTTAAATTACTGAACTATAGTTCTTACATATGATACTGGAATATTCATTACTTATATATATCCAGGGAAAAATAACCTTGGTTGATGGGATTTTTTTCCATATATTGGGCTAAGTATAAGGAATAGAAAGTTTGTTTCATAATGGTGGCATCTCAACAGAGAACTGTGCTCTCTTTAGCCTGGCTCTAAGATAGCAATAGTTAGGTTTTTGTGTTTGTACCAAAAGAGAAGACAAAAAGAGGGTCAATAATGTAAATCTGTAGACATATACATTATCTCTACACATACAGATTACGTATTTGTAGAGGCAGAATTAAGGTTAAAGAAAATAACATTAAGTTTCAACATTACTGCTTTTTAATTTCAGTTCAATACCTATAGAAGATGGATTATAATAGTGTAGGTATTGGCCTAAAATTGCTCCATATAAGATAGGCACAAATTGATTGGTTTCAATGTACAAAACAGCTATTTCATGAGGTTCAAACTTAGAGTTTGCTATTTTGTGATTATGATTGGCCCATGGAAATAAACGTTATACTTGTTATCAAGCAGAAGCATGTGTGATATAAAGCTAATTGTCTAGAGGCATATAGATATCTGTCAGATTTGTTTCAGTAGTTGAATTGTTTCCTCAGATGTTTCCTTTCCCGTGTGTAATGCCTATCTGTAAAGTGTATCTGATGAAATCCCTGTTACCTATTGGAATTTCTAGCAAACAACATAGACCAAAAAAACACTATTCTTTTACTTCATCTATTCATCTTGGCATGGAATTAAGTGATAGACCCTTTGGTTTTCCATTATTCTTTATAAAAACTCTCATTTCTCTACAATTAAAGACCATTTAACCCTGAAAGGTAGTCTTGTTTGTTAGAGAAATTACTGACTTTTAGAAAGCAAAGACATTTAAGCAACTGGCCCAATCAATATGCAGATGAGACAAGAGCATTTAGAAGGAAAAAAACAATCTGGGAGATAGGAATTCTGATCTTGACCTTGTTGGTGCCTTGTCTTGTCATTAACATAATTTTGGTGGCACTTACTCTTTTATTCATATGGCATTAGTAATCCACAAATAGTTATGAGAATTCATGACAACAAATCTGTGGCTTTCTTGTTCTATACAAGGAAGGTAACCATTGTATATCATCATTGATTAACACTTTCCAGAAAGTAGATGTTAGCTGGTATTTTTGTATTCCTTCAGAATACCTAAATCCTGTGGAAGAGAACCCTTTTGTTTCCCGAAGAAAAAACGGAGACCTTCAAGCTTTGGATAATCCTGAGTATCACAATGCTTCCAATGGTCCACCCAAGGCAGAGGATGAGTACGTGAATGAGCCCCTGTACCTCAACACCTTCGCCAGCACCTTGGGAAATGCTGAGTACCTGAAGAACAACGTACTGTCCGTGCCAGAGAAGGCCAAGAAAGCATTTGACAACCCCGACTACTGGAATCACAGCCTGCCCCCTCGGAGCACCCTCCAGCACCCAGACTACCTGCAGGAGTACAGCACAAAATACTTTTATAAACAGAACGGACGGATCCGGCCTATTGTGGCAGAGAATCCTGAATACCTCTCCGAGTTCTCTCTGAAGCCAGGCACTGTGCTGCCTCCTCCACCCTATAGACACCGGAATACTGTGGTGTAAGCTCAGCTGTGGTTTCCAAGTGGAGAGACACGCCCGACCCAATTTCCCCACCCCTCTCTTTCTCTGGTGGTCTTCCTTCTATCCCTAAGGCCAGTGGTTTTGACTCTTCTGGGAGGAAGCTATAGAGACGCAATGATAGTCACGTGCTTATATAACTTGAACTTTAGGAGGAAAGACTGGAAGAGAAAGACAGGAGGAGCCATTGTTTCTTCATTTCTCTGCATAGGGTTGTCGGGAGAACGAAACAGCTAGAGAAGGACAGAAAATATAAGGCAATAGTACCTGCTGTCAAACCAGTTCTCACCTTCTCCTTTTTCCTTTCTTTCTTGTTTCTTTATTCCTCTTTTTGTTCTTTTAAATGCAGATGATTGAAACACCCATGATATCTGTTCCTATCTGCGGGAACCGATGTGTGCGTATTCAGTATTTGAACAAAAGAAGACCCTTTTTTATAACATATGACAGTAACTGAGATAGAGAATCCAGTTTCTTTCCCCATTAGTTTTATAAGAATGGCTGACCCTGCTCTCATACATTTTAAATATCTACCAAGGTTACAACTGGTAACTATATTTGGAATGTTTCTTTGTTTTCTCTTTTTGTTTTGCTTTGGCCTGTTCTTTTACATTAATTTCTCCCCTTTCTTTAGCTTTAATTTTTAATTGCAAAATGTTGATATCAAAGCTTCTTGACAGAATTTTAAAAAGAAATATTTTAATATGGTGAAATGGCCACTATTTTAAATATACAGCCTTTAAAATTAGAAGGAGAAGGCAAGGTATTAGTGAACTAAGCATCAGGTCGGGTTTTTGTTTCACACTACTGAATATATCCTCTACTCTTTGTTGTTGTTGTTGTTCTTGTTCATCAATATTTTCTTCTCTACAAATGACAGAACTTGACAGGCAGTTGGTAATTGGAAGAGCAGAGGGAAAACAAGAAAGTTCTATGTGGTTCAAAAAAACTACTGACACTTTCAGAGGTGGTACAAGTGGGGAGTCCATTGAACTGGAAGAAACACACTGGATTGAGTATGTCTACTGGGCCGATACTCACAAATGTAGTTTGCACTTAAGCTGTAATTTTTTTTTTCTGTTTTTTTTTTTTTTTTTCTGAACTCCATTTTGGATTCTGAATGAAGCAATATGGAAACAACCAGCAAATTAACTAATTTAAGTACTTTTTTTAAAAAAAAAGAGCTAAGATAAAGACTGAAAATGCCAAACCAAGCAAATGAGCACCTTGGAGTGGTATCCAGGGATATGGTGAGAGGCCAGCACATTATCTACATATGATATCACGTTTGCTACGCAAGGAGATTTGTTCAATTTGTATACTCTGTAAGAAGGAATACAAGTAAGGATTGGCTTGAATTCCATGGAATTTCTAGTATGAGATTATTTATGACAAGTAGAAGGTAACCCTTTGCACATAAATTAGTATAATAAAAAGAAAAAAAAACATTCAAGGCTTATGGATAGGTCCTTGGATCAAAAGTTGTAAATAAATGTGAAAAACCTTCTCATGCAATTATTTTATTATCCAACATAAGGATCTTTTGATACTTTATATAAGAACTCCTTTTCTTTACACATAGCATCAAAGGTCTAGAAGTATCTTTACTAAGTGTCATTTGGAAAGAATACCTGCTGAGTTAAGATGAACGTTGAGAACAAATGACAGGGATAAAGCTCCAGGGAAATGGGGCTTCACATCAATACTAAGGAAAAGAAAATCCAAGTCTGTCCTTTAGGAATTCCTGCCCCAAGTCATTTATATTTTTAAATATTTTTTCTAATGTTGAAGTATTGAGACCAAATTAGAGTCATTAGCAGAAATGAAATCAGTCAAACTAAAAATCTCTGTTGGGACATGGAAAACAAAAAGAGTGCAGAGGGAAAAAAATCCAAAACGTATGTTTCTTCCTATTTTGAAGAAGTAAATCCATCCGAATTTCATTACTTGACTGATATGTATTTAGAGTATACTAAAAGCACTGTGTTGTGTGGGTAACCCCTAAATAAAAGGAAAATTTTCTCTAACTTCAAAATTTTACAGTCTAGAAGATTTAATTGGAATGACATTTTAATTTTTCCGTGAGTTCAAGGAATCAGATTGCACAGACTATTTTATGAGTAGTTATCATATAATCAGTTGTTTAGTTAAGAGATTTCCTGAGAACTCATTTGGGACATGAATTAAACATCCTTCAAGTTATTGAAGTTGACAGATGGGATAGTTTCAATGTTATCAGAATAAAAACTGGTATACAAGGATATTGCATCACCGTTAACTCAACAGCAGATGGTGGTCCTTGGCCAAGAACTTTGGTTTCTTCTAAGCTACGAGTGTGGTAGAGTCATGGAGGTGTTTGTGAGATCCCTTCTAGTGAAGTTTAACCACAGAAGCTTCCCACAGTTAAAGATACAAAGTGGTTTATGGGCCACAACCTAATAGCTCAGAGCTCTCTCACCCACTCAGAAAAGTCTCCAAGAAAAGAGACCTCAGATCAGTCCTTCTGAAAAATTGATTGTCAGTCACCCTGTTTAGATAAATCCAATTGAGACATCTCTCATAGACCCTTTGTGGATACTGTACCTTGACTTTTTGTTTTCTAATTTACAGTATTTATGTGGTTTCTATTGGGATATGGAAAACAGAATCATTTATTTTGGAAAGGGGGAAAAATTACTTTTAACTGTTAACATAACTGAAATATGTTGGCTGTAGTCTCCTTCTTCCTAAGAACACAGGGCTCTGACATGCCAGGTGATCTCCCACAGATAACCCCACATGCTTTTTTGTGGGGTTGAATGATTTTTTGTAGTATAGACTTTATTTTTGTCCCGCAGGAAAACATTTGAGCATGCTTAAGAAAGAAAAAAAAAGAATTTAATTTATCCCAGAGAATAACTTACTTAACCCAGTAGAGTTCAATTTTTACAATACCAGTTACAGCCTTCAAAGTGCTTTGCAACATCAGATTCCAAAGGCCAGCTGGAACTATCAATGGAAATATGCAGAATCAATTATGTAAACTTGAGGAAATTAAAGTTACACCGACAATATTTTTTAAATCCCCTAATTTGGCAGATCCTATTTAATCGCTTAGAGAATCCTATTGTCGAGCAAGGGAAAACTTTGTCACTTCAAGTTGTTTATAGAAGCCGTCCTTACATTAGTGAGCAAAGACATCCTGTAAACCAGGGCAGACCCAGAACCGCAGAGCAGCCCGCCACAAAGGGCGCTAAGACTAGGGAGCAATCTTCATTTTCTGAATTATATTATTTTTACAGGTTAGGATGGCAGTCCTTTCGCCAGTATCATTTTTCCAATAGCATGAAAAACAATGCAAAGTTTGAATTTCATTAAAACATACAAACTAAAAATGAGATACTTCATTTGTCGATTGGGAAGAATGACTAAATAGATGTAACTGAAGAGGAAAAATAGTGTTTTCCTAAGTGCCATAATGTGAAGGCTAATACCTTCTGAAGGACGGACATGGCGTGAGGAGTATGACATTTCCAGTGGTAAGGAAGAATCACCGCCAGGACGGTGAGGCTCTGGTGCTAAAGTGGGAGAAACTACCAATATGTTTCTTCAAATGTTGAAAATGAAAGACATTTAGAATTATTTAAGCCTGACAGGGAAGGATGTAAATACACGTTTCTCTAAAGCTATCTAACTTTATTTCAAAACTTGGATTATTCATCCATCTGTAATCATTAATTATTTAACTAGTATATAGTTCATAAGGTAATAGAAAAGGTGACCATGAAAGTGTGTATATAACTGGACAGAACCATGACAATACTGTAAGATGTAGATTTAGTTAGGTTATCAATGTTAAATGATTTTAATATTATTAAATAAATGAAAACTAGAACATTAATCACAAGTATAATGTCATGAAATAAAATGCAGGATGTGAAAACATAGGAAGGATTTTGCATAGCAAAAAAATAAGTTTGCCATTTAAAGTTGTTATCGCTGGGTTTAGCTAAAAGTAGGTCTGTATGGTTCCATTGAGAAAACTTGCTTTAAATCACTACAATTTTTTTCTCTTTCTCTTATTCCTTTACCACTTTTAAGTGTATTAAATGTAAAGAGAAGTTCTTTTAGTTTGTTTTGCCAACACCACCTTGTAGAGTTTAACAGGCAACTACTTTGCATATGAGTTTAAGTTAAGAGGTCTTCAAAATGAAGTAAAGGAAATGTACATGCTCTATTACCTTACGCAGAGACAGAAAAAGTGAGTGGTCTCATTTAGGAAACAAACAAAACACATTTAATTTGTAACAAGCCCTTTGTTTTCCCACAATGCCCTCTTGCCTCCAAAAATAGCTACAAGGAATAACATTTTTCTAAATAATAAATGCTAAACCAAGAATTTTAAACTACTGTATTACCATTCTTTCGGACTCCAGTTATAAGACTGATGATTTGTTGTGGGGGCAAATGAGAAATCCAGCTAAAGACACTTCTGCTTGTTAAAAAGCTAGGGAAACTGACTTCTATGTATAAGCTATGGACAGAGAATGCAGCTGAGCCTCTCTCTGTGGGCATGGACATTGGCGGGCATCAGTCTGAAGGACAGCTTGTGTACCCATGCAGACACATGGGCGCAGGCAGGTGTCTCCTGGTTGCCATTTGCTTAAGGACAAATGACATTATACAGGTGTAGAAGATATATAATTTTTAAACATCATTATCAGTGGGGACTCTATTATTGCTGATACTACAATAGAGCCAGCGTTTATATTTCTGGATAGAATTAATACAGTTTTTCTGTTCCCAGAGACCTTTGCAAGAGGAGTCCTCTCTGTAGTTGCAAACATGAAGCTGTTGCGGGTATTGTATTAGACCAAGGGACTCTTGGGTTTGTATTGGCAAGTATCTTTTAGCACCATGGGCTACTGGTTTCATTAAACGTCTGCTTTCATTAAAAGTCTCACAAAAATAGAAATTTCAGATACTCTGTTCAAGTCCCACTAAAA